CAATTAAGCCGCCAGTGCACAGTGCTTCTTCTTCTGCCCGCAACATGCTCCGCAGCTTACTCCTTGCCTACTACATCTTATTCATCTTCAGCTCAAATTTTTCTTCACCGCAACGACTTGGTTGGTCATTTTTTACACCAAAGTATTATTATCGCAAACATAGGAATTACAAGTTATATATCTTAAAAAGGCATGCGAGAAAGAAGTTCTAGATTTATCCTTTAGCTGTAAACACAGACTTATCTCTGCCTGAAAGTGCCATCGCTCAGATCCATGCAGAATAATGATGAAGTGGCCAAGAAGTTCGTCAGTAAGGGACTGTGTGGGAAGTTATTGCTGCTGTTCCAGGGGGACTGTGTTAAGTTAGTGTTTTTCTTGCTAAAAATTGGTCTGCATTCCGTACCTTTGTCTCAGTGGCAAACTCAAAGTGATACATGTAAAGGGAGCACACCAGCCTGCATCTTCTCTACGGTCCTTAAAGGAGGGAACCCTGGAAATGGGTGGTTTTTCCTGATGTACTACCGTCCGGGCTATTTTCTAAGTTCAAATATCAAGAAATTTTGACATTTTATTTGGTTTATTTTCTCACTTCGACGCATTCTTGTTTTCTTCGGCTGATTTTGTTTGTGAAATCGAAAAAGGTTTATTCTTCAATTGTTTTTTTTTTTAAAAATGGCTCTTTTTTCCGGCAAATGGTTTATTTTCGAAAACCTTACTGGCATCACAGCATATTGCAATATCACTAATAAAAGGGCTTTGGAGGATGCCTGCTTAATTAAAGTATTTACCGATGTTTCAAAATCGAGCAATTTGTATTTCCGAGTTATTTTTCTCATTGGTGAATTAATGTTTCATTTGCCTCTCCCTCAGTCCTCCCAGTGTACAAACTCATTTTTTCATCGACAACCGGAAGGTTTTTCATCACAGAATTTATAACTTCATGCAGCAGCCGACCCTGTGACACAGTCGAAATTGTATTAGTACAATGGTGATTTTATACCTCAACGCATTCATTTTGCTGCATAATTTTGCAGAATTTAGTTAACAACTAAAAGCATGGTAAATTGATTGTGTTGAGCAGACGTAAAAGCAACGGTGGCTGACTGCGAAACAAGCACACATTAAGGTCTCGGATGCAAAGTTTTTATTAGCGCTTATTTTAGTCCTATGAAATAATAGAATAAGAGATAATGGATTAGTCTAAGTGTCATGTGCACGAAGACATATTTGGATGCAGTCTTTGTTTCATCCCTTAGCTGTAAACTGTTTTCCAGCAGTGTTTCTGGCCGAAAATGAACGGGATAGATTCCGGGCAATCGCTTCGCACAATGGTTTCCCGTCTAGCAATGTGATATATGTGATGCCTGAGAAGACGATCTACGTACCACAGACCAGTAAGTTCAATTGTTCGCACCGTTCATTTTCATCTTGTTGAGCGGAATATCATCAATTTTTTCAACAACATCTTATTGATTAAAAACTTACGAGAAACTTTTCTTTGGTATCGTGAAAATGCTTTGCGTTTATGCAGTTAAAATCGTGTTAGGGTGACATTAAGCCTGTACTTGTCCATGGTCTTGAGTAATTCGACTCAAGAACTAAGTGATGTAGGAATTTGGGAGCGTAGTCTTTGATTTTTTGAAATCCAAAGAATCTGAGTCATCTGTCATCTACTGACATCTACTTCTGTGTGGTAACCGTAAATTCAACCCCAGATTGGTCTCATTGCCAAACAATCTTTGCGAGCAAGGTTTTAGAAATTTTGGCTAACTGTTTGGAAGCATATGTTCCTTGGGATCTATATACAAGTTAATTTCATAATCCTATCTGGGCAAGCTAGAATTTCGTTGTTTGACTCGTGACTGGCTACCCAGAAGCCGATTGGTACTGAAACTTCAGGACGATGAAGGCAATAAATCTAAAATTTGGGTGCTTTTCATAAATCGGTTAAATTGCGACATTCACGCGGTGTCATCTGGAAATTCCCAGTGATTGGTTTCGCAATAAATTCTCGTTGAAATTCTGCTTCCTCAGGCATTTTATGTGTCATTTGTCTGAGCACACTCCTCCCATTAATGGTGTTTTATTTAGTATGCGAGCAACTGAAGGAGCGCGCCATAGCAGTGTTCGGACCAGGCAATTTTCCAGGCGACATCATTGCAGCTAGTTATGCTGCCAACCTCACAGTGCCGCATTTCTATTTGGAGCCGAGAAAACAGATTTTTGATTATGTCATCGAAAGGTGGCTTTTTGAATTATTCTTTCTGACAGTACAGATTGCCTTTTTACAACTCATTGTAGTGAAATATTGAGACACAGTAAATGTGTACATGTTCATAAAAGTAAAAATTTATACGACATGAGTTCTTAGGTAGATCGAAGAAAAACATTATGGTGGGATTGTCACTACCTCTTTGTATGGACTGCGAACGATAAATGTTTAGATATTTGAAGTAGAACTCCGACGCTAGCCAGTGTTAGCTTATTTTTATATTTGATTTTACTGATTTCTGCATTAAATCACTCTCGATTTGATTTTTAGAATACGAGTAAATTTGTGCGGATCACTTTGTGTATTAAAATTACATTTATTATCGAAATGCATACTGAATATTGAAAAAAGTGCATTTCAGATCAGTGGACTTGTTCCCGGGACCAAGGGTCATTTCGGATATCTTAGTACCCATTGTGATTCATTACAAATGGCGATCGCTTGTGCTTCTTTACCAGAAAGCATCAGGTAATTCTTGGCCGAAACACATTACTTTGTTACCCATCCGTTACCCAGAAACGCCTGCGCGGCTTCTCTTTGAAATAAGGCGGTCATCTTTTGAATTTTCAACCTAAGTAAAGGGACAGTGGATCAAAGGATGTTTGGAATGTGTTTTCGTAGCCGTCATGCATTCAAATGCTTCGTCAGATAGGCTTCGATCATACAAGTTTCTTTGCGATCGTAGGAGGAAGTAAAATTTGATTGATGGAACACTTTGTTTGCTTTGCTGGGAACTAACAGACATCGGGTATCGCCGAGATTTTGGCGTTCGAAAGTGAAGAGGGCTGTCGCCTGCTTGATCGAATATGTTCCAAACGTTCGATAACACAGGCAAACAGAGACCAGCCTAGGATCGAAGAATCTGGCATAGATGTACCCAGCATGTATTGATGGACCTCATCAATCACTATTTACGGATGTCTGCGTTGATCATCCACACTATCTTCTCAGTAATCCTTGGTCCTGTGATGAATGGCATTTCACAGCTGGTTGGGAACACTTATAAATTTTAATTGTGCGCGATAAAATAGTCGCTGCATGCCTTCACTGCACTGTACCTTCGAATCATTGCTAATTGCAGATCTCACCAATCTTCAGCATTTTATTGCAATGAGCTATTTCCCGCAGCCTTATCAGGTAATTTTTCCGTTCACCGCTCATTCATGTAATATTTTCGTTCAGTGCTCATTCCCTGTAGTTTTCGTTTTCTTCCATATTATGCTTAGTATATCGTGCCCTGACCACATGCATAAAAGTGTCATAAATTGAACGTAGTTGAATGCAAAAAATTATACTTTTCGACGAAACTTTTAAAAAGAAAGAAATATGAGACGACCGAGACATGAAATGAACGTCCTAGGGAAAGCGAAATAGCAGAGCAATTTTTTATTGACGATGAAGTTCCTCAAAATGCTTGTTTTCGCAAATGAAACTGTACTTGTCGTCGAAAAGCCGCAAGTTTTTATGCTTTTTTTGCAGCAATGCAATGCGAAAACGCATATTGACGAGAG